AGGGATTTTAAACATTTGATAAGTTAAATAGAAAAAGCAAAGCAAATGTTATTTTTAGTATTTTTACCTAGTTTTATAAGGCACCTTGATTTTATTGTTTTATAGCATTGCCTTTAATTTTAATTGCATTTTATTGTGGTATATTGTTGTCTGTACTCTATATGTATGGAAGCGAATGTGTCTCTATTTTCAAATTAAAATGGATTAATAGAAATGCTTTTCATTTTCAAAATAAAGCTGCATGTTTTGACTCATAAATAAAATTAAAAATAAATCATCCAAACAGCATTTTCATTTTCTTCTCTAAGACTGCTCAGTTTGTAAATTAGTTAAAATGATCAATAAAATGGCGTTTAACATTTAATTTTCAAAATATATTTCTGTAAAAAGATTAATTTTGTAATGTCAAATTTGAACATTAAAATGAACGAGCAGAAATGGTCAGCGTACCTTTAGTTCAATTGTTTTTTCATAGAGAATCAATAATCAAAAAATGAAACATTTCTTGTCATATCATTATTCATTTTAATGTGTGATTCTTCAAATACAATTCATCGCTTTCTGCATTTTTGACTTTAACCTCACATCAAAAATCAAACTTTGAAAAACTGTCCTCCGGACTTATTTGGTTTTGATATTTGTTTTCTATCAAACGTGTGACCTGGAAGTTGTTCGTGTGTGTGTTTTGCATATCGACAGTCGACACCATGGCCTCGCTGGAAACACACTTGGCATTGATCAGAAAGTTGTTTAAGACGGGCAAGACGCACGCAGAGCTTTCCTCTACACTGCAGCAGAAGTGGATCCAACAGAGCTCGGACACGAGCGTCAGAAGAGCGTGTAACGTGGGATTGGCTCAATATATGAGGTTACATGGATTTTTATCTTAGGTATAATATTTTAGCTTCCATTTTTAACATAGTTTTCCTCATCAGACGGGCACAAGTTTATGACAGGATATTTGTCGTGGATGAGGGTGTGGGCAGGAGAACGACGAGTAGTCTTGAACCAGATTCATCAGCCACATCATGAATACCAACGTCAGGTGCTGCGAGTAATCGTTAACATTCGTGGCAGCTGGTGATCAAACTGAGTGTTGAGTAGGACTATTGCTTCCTGTTAATCCTCATAGATCGCTGTGGTCTGTTTACGTTACCATGGTAACCAGACGCAATACCGTTCATTCTCAGACACTGGACAAGTGAGCACTGGGTGCATTCTTAATTTACAATAGACTTCACTGTGCACACAACGTGGTCCTCCCGTCTATCACTCGTATATTTTTTTACTGATTTTTTTTATTTTTTATATTAAATTCATATATTTTTGCACCACCATATCACCCTTAATGAGCCAGTCCTCAGGTTAGGATTAATAAATTAAAAAAAAAAAAAACATTTAAAAAAGGAATAATCAAATTTTTTTTTCTTTATTAAGGATGCTCAGAATCTTCGCAGCTCTCTGCTCCACACAGAGGGCTGTGGCTGCTCGGTGTCTGTGGTTGCGTCAGGAAGGGCATCCGCGTAAAAATAACTGCCAAGTCTTCGTGCGACTTCGCTGTGGCGACCCCTAACGCAGGGAGCAGCCGAAAGAAGAAGAAGGCGCTCGGAATCTAAATCCTGCCCCCATCATGCTGAGTGCATGGGTCATAAACTGCACCTGGATCAGAATGAGAAGCTTGGCATGTTCGATGCGACCCGTGTTTTGGCTGTGGATGTGTGCAGCAATGAAACTGTTTCAAACGCCACCATGCCAATAAAAAACAACCTGGTGATCTTTGAGGAAGTTTACACTATTGTTGTGTATTTGTACTATAGCTGTACTAGTTTGACACATTTGATAGAAAACAAATATCAAAATGAAATAAGTGCGCAGGACAGTTTCCCAAAGTTTGATTTTTGATGTGAGGTTAAAGTCAAAAATGCAGAAAACGATGATGCACTGTATTTTTTGAAGCAGAGGAAGAGTTGCCACTGACGTCACGCTCTCGCGCCGCTTGGAATTGCAAATTCTAATTGATTTATGGAAGTCTTTTTGCGGGGGCACCGCGTGGAAATGAAATGAGCAGTGTTGAGCTGAAAATGAAACTGTTTCTATTAGCAATTTCATTTATGAGTCAAAACATGCCGTTTTATTTTGAAAATGAAAAGCACTTCTATTAATCCCTTTTAATTTGAAAATTGAGACTCATTCGCTTCCATATAAAACAGGACTCTCTTGAAAACGAGTCCTCGTGACTCAATGAGACTAACCTGGATAAATGAAGGTTGAATGAAAAGAAACATCCACTCCTGCTTTATTTGTACGTTACTATCATCATCTTCCATTTGGGTGTTATGGTTTTACCTTTTCAGTTTTAATGTGAACATTTGCAAGTTGGACGTGAGTGTTGATTGTGAGCCTGTTGTAGAAACCACACGTGGCCAGAGGAGGCCAGAAGATTCAACTTCTGCACAAACATGACCAACAAGAGGATTCTGCTCATTAACAGACCGTAACAACTTTCAAATTATTTTTACACTTTTAGGTTTGGTCATAAAAATATGGGAAACATCTCAACGATCCTGTGTTTCTGTGGAAAGGTGATTTTAGAGGAATAGCTCAGATGTGTTGAAGTGAAGATCTTGTGAAGTTGTGAGTAGTTAATATCTTACCTGTGGGCACCTGACAGTGCTTTGAACCTCAGTTTAGTATAGTTTTATTCTAATGAGACCAATAAGCTGAACCTAATATGTAGCTAAGAGCTGAGTGGACTCTGCACCTTCAACACTGTCAAATAATAAAAGATCCAACGTTCCTTTCCACAGAACTTCACTTCACATTGTCTGAAATATCCGTTAAAAGTTCTTTAAACACCTGCACTTCCTGATTTTTGAACATCCCTCAAAAGTTTCCACTTGGTGGAACATTGTTGGAACATCTGAGTCCGCCTGCCCGTCCTGCCAGCTGTGTGTTGTGAAACTCTCGGGGTGTGAAAGTGATGGACCCTGTAGGTTTGTCCAGTTTGACAGAGATCACCTCCTCTACTCCCTCTCTGCCCAAACGGGTTCATGCTTTAAAACAAAGGGCCCTCCATGCTCGAGGTTCATGCTTTAAAACAAAGGGCCCTCCATGCTCGAGGTTCATGCTTTAAAACAAAGGGCCCTCCATGCTCGAGGTTCATGCTTTAAAACAAAGGGCCCTCCATGCTCGAGCCCATCGTCGTTCTGCAGCTCTTGGGTTTTATCCTGACAATCCAACATCTGAACTTTAAGATGGGACTTTTCAGCAGCATCGTGAAAAACTGTTCTCTCTGAAATGATGCACGTTTTACCCAGTACAAGTACATTTTCATAGTACTTTCCCCTGATGTGGATATTTTTGAACCAGGCTCACATTAGTTTGTGTGTCTCAGTGATCAGAAGAGGTCTTTTGATTTTTTTTACCTCAGATCTTACATTTTATAGTATCAAAGCAAAAACAGCCGTTTTCTGAAAACTTGGCGAATAAACATGTTTACACAAACAACTTTAATTAGGTTCAGCTGTCATCCTCATGTATCAAAGGGAAGATTAACTAAAGGTTTTTTTAAAAAGTGGGATTACATGACAAATTTGTGAACATTTAATCTGTTGTTGTTTAAACGTCCCGTTTGGACTGATGAGCTAAAGGCTGGTCTGAAATCAAGGTATCATCTTCAAACACCTCCAAACCTTTACAGCATCTTGTAAACATCACATCGTCATCAATCACCAACATATCAAGATGGAAAGCTTTGATATTGTTGGAAGCTCAAATAGCAGCAGCAGCTAGCTGTAGCACCATCATAGTATTTTTAATAAACTGTCTACGTGGAACATGCAATAAATGTTGAATGAAAGAAGTCACTATGTGCAGGTTCAATTTCCGTCTCTCCTCAGCCAGATATTTTCCTCCAAGTGTCACTTTGTCTGTTCAAACAGGTCTCACTTGTAAATGAGTCGAGGCTCAAAGTGATTCATCTGTTTAAATAAAGGTTGAATGAAGGAATGGTCTACAGGGAACATGTAACCGTTTATATTCAGGTTTCTCTTTCACGTCTCCAGCTCGTCCTAAATGTTGCAGCTCAGCTCTTAACAGGAACTCGTAGGTTTGATCATATTTCACCAGTTTTGTCCTCCGTTCACCGGCTCCCTGTACGTATCAGAATAGATTTAAAATTCTCCTGTTGACCTTTAAGTTCCTAAATGACCTTGTACCCTCATGTCTCTCTGAGCTACTTCAACCATATGTTCCTTCTTGGTGCTGAGATCATCTGACCAGCTGCTTTTGGTTGAAGCTCAGAGGAGATCAGTCTTTTTCAGTCGTGGACCCTAAACTTTGTTACAAACTGCTCCTCAACATCAGACAGAACATTTCACTTCCTGTTTCTAATTTTTTTTTTATTTTTACTTTTAACAGTGTGATCTGATTTACTGGTAGTATTTTTTTACATTTTTCTTTTGATGGTTTTAATTTTAGTTATAATTTTTCCTTTAATTGCTGCCTTTGATCTTATTGTTCAGCACTTTGGTAGCAGCTGCTGTTTTAAATGTGCTTTATAAAGAAATTTGACTTTTTTAATATTCAGGGATTTTTAAAAAAAAATTATCGTTTGTATATGAACCACGACAAATTAATTTTATACATTTAAAATAATTAGACGTGTTTTTGGAGGTAGGTCCAGATGGAAAAGCAGATATTTGCTTCTCCATACGGTCCAAGTTTATCATAATAAAACTAAAACTCTTTGTGCTGCGGCAGATACACACTTTTAAAATGTTTGACAGTCTTTTCTTCTCAAAAGTCCTCGCAGGTGTCTGAACATCCTAGAGCGCACCATTTGTATTTTTTTGTCAACTTCTATGCAAACTGCAAATTTTGGCCCAACTTTCGTCGGAGTCCATGTAAACATGGTGTTTCCCCGACAGCTGCAGTGAGACAGTGGTTTTAACACGAAGTAAAGAATCAATACAAAGAAGGACAAAAGCTAAACGAAGCCAGCGGTTTGAAAACGCTTTACTTCACTTGCACAGATCACAGGCTCGTACATGTAGGCACACAGAGCTGCAGGTTCTCTGGGGAACAAGAGGCACCAACAGATTTACCTGGAAATAATCTGCTGTTTCTGGACCAGTAATCTGGCAACAAACACCGTCTCGTTCACACACACAGGAAATCTGCAGGGAGGGGTTCTGGGGATATTTAGAGCTGCAGTCCAGATCCCAATAAATTCAACCCAGATCTAAAATCCTGTGCAGAAAACTGATGTGAACGCCTCTGAAACCAGGTGTGTTTTAATCCAGATTACTCCTACCCAGTGTGTGTGACGGCCGAGGCAGCGGTCCCGTCATGTCAGCTGAGGTTGTTGTGATTTCAGCTTCGACGTCTCCCACAAGTTTCACAGTGACTGATCCCAGGGTGCTCCTGTCCCCCACATACACTCCCATCACCCCCAGTCTGCCACTTTATCCAGCCCCATTTATTCCCAAAATACTTCCCTTAGCATCCCTGACCCCCACCCGTCCACCCCCCTCCCTAATGATGAACATTTGCTCATTTGCTGATGATGCTTCCTCCCCAGGTCTCGTGTTTGGTTCCTGGTTTCAGGTGGGTGATGGTCACCTCCACCGCCTGGACCTTCTCCAGTTTGGGAGGGATGGAACAGACCTTGTAGCTCACTTCGTCGCCCTCCACCGGCACGTACTCCCCCTCGATGCTGGACGGAGACAAAAAGGTTCAAACGTGAACAGAGAGGAGAACAAAACCGTTCTGCTCGGCTTTCTTTCCCATTTCATAACAACACCCCCCCTTACACAAGATAAGACAGAAGATATGCGAGTCAAATGAAACGGTCAGCACTTGTTTGGTGGCGATATGACAATCACTCGTATCAATTCATTCCATTGAACAATGTCAGAAACTAAAAAGTCACAAGAGCCAATCAGAGGACACGTTTTGTGTTGAGTGTAGAAGCAAAACATGGACTCCGTGACACTGGAAGAACATGTACCTGTCAAAATCATAGATAAACTTTTAATTAACTCACGTGTTCAAATTCCTCCAGTTTTCCCTGTCTGGAAAACATGAATGTTATTTTCCAGGTTTCCTGATTTTCAGAGTAGTTGTAAATCCTGACTAACCTCCTGACCCCCAAGCTTCAGTTGTAGTGTGCATTTGTTCTTTTCTCCAACCTACATGGGATTAACTGGACTCTGTCACGGGACAGGAAGTGGTTTTACAACAAAGTTACATCCTCATATGAGGACAGGAGGTTTATTTTTACTTTTTATTTATTTTATTTTAAATTAGGGTCAGAAGGTCCCAACAACTCTAAAAACAAAATGTCAGCTTTCTACGATAAGCAGTTCTCTAAAGAATCAGAATGAGGACCCTAAAGAATCAGCATGAGGACCCTAAAGAATCAGCATGAGGACCCAGGGTCTGAGGTGGTGTGAAACCAGCTGCGTGGGTTTTCTCCAGGTGCTCCAGTTTCCTCCCACAGACCAAAAACATGCATGTTAGGCTGATTGGTAACTCTAAATTGTCTCTAGGTGTGAGTGAGAGAGTGAATGGTTGTTTGTCTCGTTTGTCTCTGTGTCCCTGTGATGGACTTGGACCTGTCCAGGGTGTCCCCCACCTCTCACACAGTGACTGCTGGATATGGACACCAGTGACCCCCTTGACTTGGAAAGGAAGAAGCGGGTAAAGATGATGGATGGATGGATGGATGGATGGATGTTGAAGCAACCCACAGTGAGAAGTGTGCGGGGTATCAAACCAACAATGTGTTCATGAACGCCTCAGCTGGAGTTCAGTCAGTGAAGTGGTCACTGGACAACTGGGAGTCCTGGTCCAGCCTCTCATGCAGCTTGTGCATGATTCAGAGCAAAGCATCAAATGCTCTTGAAAATATTCTACTGACGATTTACCGTGGTAAAAGTACAAGTACAGCAGAAGTATTCACCACTGGCTTTTCTTTCCATTTTGTTGCCTCCTGGAATTTAAATGAATCATGAATTTAATTATAAATAATGGACTTGTGTAGAGTTAAGGTTAAATTGTGTTGGCATGGGACCAGCTCTAATGAAAAGGAAGTACTTTGAACTGACAAGTGGTGGTTTTATTGGGGACTGTCTAGTACAAGGCAGACACCTACAGGTATTATTATTATTCACCTCGGAAACATGTTTGACTTTATATCTTTATTCTTCCGTCAACTTTAACACGGCCCGAACCACAACATGTGACCCGTTATGTCAAAACGACCGGCACGGCACCGTGATGTGTGCCATCACTTTTATTGGCATTTCGAGTTACCACGGCGACATAATTTGCAAACAACAACAAAACGCCTGACAGAACACTCCTCACACCAACTGCTGCTGTCAGGTCACATGACTTGCAGTGTAGAGGTCCCTGAAGGAAACAGAGACTCACTGCTGGATTTGTTCTAAACTCACAGACGGTAATCAGCAGATAAATGTTGAGAACTGATTAACATTTGGAGCCATTTTGATTCAAGATGGCTGACACAGCTACCTCAGCAAACACAAAATTGACTATAACTCAGTCATTCTTTGACATATTGAGCTGAAATTTGGATGTAGCTGAGAGTGAGTTGTCATACATTCCTAATGAAAATCAAATATCCAAGATGGCCACTTAGCCAAAAGAGATAAAATATGGTAACTCTGCCATTTTTAGAGACACTGAGCTGAAATTTGGTGTATTGTAGCAGAGAACGATCTTTAATAGAATGACTGAAAATCAAAAAGCCAAGATGGTCGCCTGAGCAAGAAAGGAAAAATACCATAGATCAACCAATTTTAGTCACATTGTGCTGAAACTTGGTGTGGGTGTAGTGAACCTGACCTCATGTCAAATCTGACCAGATGCACAGAAACTGTCATTTCATTGATCTGCATCCAGAAATACAGTTTGACCCATCTGGAGACTTTTTCTTGAATTAATCAAGTAGAAAAGACAATTCTCTATGATCATTACTATTTTACAAATGTTTGATAATCAAATTGTGTTAGTTCACTCAATGTTTACAGGTTGAAGAGAACTACTCATTTTTATTTTACATAAAACAGTAAGTAATGATTTTTACTCCTCATTCAAAGAAGAAATCAGGGTAATAGGCATTTCTTGATTTTTCTGTCTTCAATGAGCAAATTTGTAAGTGTGTTAAAGTTCAGGTTTCGGTCAACTAAAAGTTTACTGAAAAAGAAATGTCATGTTTAATCTTTACAGCAGATAATAGGAGTAGAGACTCCACGAAGTCTGGTTTTCTCCAATAATCTTTCTGTCTGTTTTAAACAAACTTAATCTCTGCCCTTGACTTGGATAACACCTTACATCACAAACCACACCTCTGATCTGGTCCATCCACCAATCAAAAAGCTCTAAAATGACCCGGAAGTCAACCCATTTAAATGTGGCAACTTCCCGGTTCTAGTAGGAGTTTTTGCAGAGTTCTGTCGGATGCAGCTCATGGAGAAGTGTCAAAAGAAGGTCTGATGTCTGTGTCGAGTCTCTGTCGAAGAGAGACGCGACGAGATGAAAAGAGCTTAAAGGAGTAGAGCTCTGAAGGAGTTCAGAGTCCTTGAATCCAGAATGCAAGGGACGATTTTGGGAATTATAACTTCTGTTTGGATAACCTCGCACGACTCTCGAAGTATTTTAGCTGTTCTCAACGGAGACGCTGAAAGAGTCAAAGGAAGGATTCTATACCGACGCTGACCTATCATCAACCAGGTAAAAGTTCTACTTCGACCAAGCGTACCGTGACCAAGCTGAGAACTGAAGGAGCGTGCACGTTTCTGGTCAAACAGATTAATTCCCTCACACATCTCTCTGTAAGATAAATCTCCATTTCCATCTTAAACTCTCCTTTCTCCTAAAATCAGTACAGATATTTTAGAAATATCTGAAGCAAAGTTCTCAATCACCGCCGTGTGATTGATGTCTGTTGTTCTGCTGAGAAGTGAGGACAATCGCCGTATTGTCCACTTTCTGTGAAACTAGCCATGTTATTGTTTTCATATTTTGCCAAATTAATGTAAATGTGTGATGTTAAACTTTGATTCTGCAAATAAATGACCGCATTCATTTGATGGGTCAAAGATAAATAACGTCTCTCGTTCGCATTTCTGTTAAACTCAATGCACGACATTTACACAGTCAGAAAAATGAAGAACTCGTGAAAATGTACGAATATATCCTGCATATGTCATACTACATGGGGATAGATGAGAATGTTTCCCATCAAATGCTGCATCAAAACCAAATATCTAAGATGGCTGCCATTGCTACTTTTAAATGGATTTAACTCAGCCATTTTGACACATAGAGCTGAAATTTGGTGAGGTTGTAGCTGAGAACGTGCTCCATCATACACTGAATCCAAATCAAAAATCCAAGATGGCCACCTTAGCTAAAAAGATAAAAACAAGATAACTCAGGCATTTTTAGAGCTATTCAGCTGCAACTCGTTATAACCCAAACACATTTTACCGTCAAATCAACACATTATGTCGGCAGCAGCCCGGCAGTCCCCGTCAAAGTTTCTCCAGGAACTTTCTACTTTATATTTCTCAGTATTTTGAAACTCAGATCAGTTTCCAGTCTCTGCTAAGGAAAAACATCCCCACCGCATGATGCTGCCACCGCCATGCTTCACTGCTGTCAGCACGATGAGAGGTTTGTACCGTTCATGGTGTTGTCCTCGATGGCCTAAAAGTTCAGTTAGTCTCATCGGAGCACAGCACCGTGTTTGGAGGCTCCAAATGGGTCTTTTGACAAAACACCATCTTATTTATTATTTTACAAACACGAGCTCAGATATTCCAGGACAGCACCAGAACAGACTTATACTCTGAGAACTCACAGGTGGATCTTATTCATCTATAAATGTGGCTTCTGTACGGAAAACTTTAACTAGTTTTAAATTCCAGGTTGTAAGAAAACAAAGAAAAAACCACAATGGGGGTGAACAGTTTTCAGCCCCCTGTACAACTTTAAAACCAGTGAAACATTTGATAACAGCTGCTGCTGCGTGTGACGCCTCCTGTGAAGCAGCGCTGCAGACTTGAATGAGCCCGAGCTTGTTTTGTTAAAGAGTACGTAGGTGTTGAAGTGAGCTGACGTGTGTTTCCTGTCGTGTGTGTGTGTGAAGAACAAAGGGCCTGCAGTGAAGGTCACTCAGTGCTGCGTCGCCCTCCCACACGCTCCTCTTTGTGAGCGCTGTCCTCGTCTCCCACGCACAGCCGAGGCATCGCTCCATGACCGATTGGAGCCGAAGCAGCCTTCTAACGTCCACCTCATCATCACAGCCCCACTCTAACATGCCCCCCCCCACACACACACACACACACACACACACACTCACTCTGAGATGTGAACAAAGATGTCGTTCCCTCCGTCTGACGGCGTGATGAAGCCGTGGCCTTTGGAGCGACAGAAACATTTACACACTCCGGTGAACACCGGACCCTCTGCAGCACGGGCCGCCCTGCAGGGAGAGGGGGGTCAGATGGAGGGGTGGGGGCAATAACAGGAACAAAACACAAAAATATTCAAAATACTGAAGGAAAATATTGAAGTAAATGAATTGTTTCTGCCGTTTAAATCTGATCAGATGACATGACTGAATTATCTCAAAGAAGACGCTACATTTTTGTCTGGAAGAGGCTTCGGAAACAGATTATTCAAATTATTTTTGATCTTTCTGACTGAAAACAGAAACATCTGCAGGTGCTGGTAGAGTTACACAAGACCAAAATGTTTTCCATTCTTAGTGGACTGATTGAACAGAACGTCTGGGGAGGTGGGCCTTGGAAATCTTTCTGGATCCTTCCTGACGTGTACGTTTCAATATTCTTTTATCTGAGATGAACCGGGGCCGTCACTTATTTCATACTTTTATTAAACTGGTACTTGTATGAACACGGAGATAATGAGAAGTCACTTGAAGCCAAGATTTTTTAAAATCTTTTCAGGAATTGAGCAGGTTTCACTCAAGTTTTATGCACGAGAGTAAAAATCCAGAATGCACTCCGCTGGACTCGGCCCAGCTGCAGCATCTTTTGGACAATCATGAGACTTTGAACCTTCCCAGAGTGAATGAAGAGTCCAGAACACAAGTCTGCCTCAGACCTGAACTGTTTTTACACTCGCACATCTGAAGTACGGTCTGACATATTTTACCCTGCCTTTATTTTATGTCTAACATCACTCTTATTAAAGCTGTAGACATTTGTTTGACCTAAAAAGGGTCTTTTTTTTTTTTTATATGGAGGGGTCTTAAAAGTTCAATAACTCAAAAATCTACTCACAAGTTATTAAAAAAAGAACCTCAGCAAATCACAAATTGATCACATTTCAAATAAAACCTTTAATTTTTTTTTTTTTAAATAAGACTAAAACCTTTTGAAACGGCTTACAATTATTATTTTATGAATCGTTATGACTGATTTTCCTAAACTTTGATTTAACTGTACTGTTGTAGAGTATATTTGTTTTAGTAAGATTCTTTTATGAACACATTATTTACTTATTGTTCTTGGTTTTTATATTAATTTAAAGAGACGTCTAATCCTCCCTAAATGCACCTCGTCCAGAATATGAAGTGTCTAAATGTTTTACACTCGAATGGAGCCGGGGGCTCGTTGTGTGTTTGAGGGTGTCCTCACGCTGAGTAGGTCCTGTTCCTGCGAGTGGGCAGGGGGCTGGGGATGAGGAAGCCTCTCATGGGGGAGGGCGAGCGCTCTCTGAACTTGGCTGGAAGCTGCAGGGCCTCTGAAACAGAAAGTGCTGCATCAGGACCAGCGTGAGACGGCAGCGGGTTCGTCCCTGCGCTGCTTCTGTAACCCCGCCTGCAAGAAGAGAGCGAACACCGGGCTCTGCAGAGGAATGAACGGTGACGACCTGCAGAACCTCCAACCTTCTGCTTCAGTACATTTAACAAGCTGAGGACAGAAACACTTCAGTTGTAGTCCCTGTTAGGGTCAGAACAGACTCTTACAGAGCACTGTGCTGTGTCAGGAAACGTCATGGCCGTCAAACTGCACACAGAACTTCTGTTTACAAAACAAAATGTGTGGCAACAACATCCTGACTGACATTCCTCATTAATTCAATTAAAAAAAACTTCATTAATCCCAAAGTAAAATAAATGTTGCAACTCATCAACCTGGTTTCATTAAAGAGTTGTTCTAGATGCTGATGGCTGTGGGCAGGAAGGATCTCTTGTTTCCGTCTGTCTTACACCAGATCTGAAGAAACTGGTTACAGATGTTGATCCGTCCCTTGGACTTGGCGGGTGTCGGTCTTCCTGGGCAGCAGGATCACATGAATGTTGGGCAAAACTCCTCCCAGCAGACTGCCGAGCCCCTCGTCACTGCGGACAGCAAGACGTAGGTGTCGGGGGACGACCTCGGTCCTCTCGCGGTCATGAGCCACGCCTCCCGCCAGCTCCAGGATCTCAGCGGTCAGGTACTCAAGCTGCCAGGTAGACGGGAATGCATCCATGGCACCTCCTTTTAAACTCATTTGAGATTTGGGGCTGTAGTTGAGGTAATATTTGAGCTTTGAGATGTTAATCAGCTGCTCCCAGTTGTTAAAAAAAACCCACCTTGTTGTCATGGTTACGCATCATAACAAATGTCCAAAAGGTAAAGAGGTTTCAGTAAAAATGCAAGATGAAAATTAACATCTCGGACAGACGCTGAAGTAATAAAAGAGACCTCTTTAGATATTTCCCATCAACAAACTGAGAAATGTAAAGAAACAGAATGGAACAACCAGTTATTAGAAATGTTAAAAACACGATAAAACAGTCATGAGCTGATGCGCTTTGAAGAAATAAATAAACTAATAAGTGATGTAATATTTTATATGTTTTGTAAGTTGTTTATTGTTGTGTGGAAATGGTAAACAAACATCTTTGAAATGTGGATCTTAACATCCACAGTCACGTGTTCTTGAATGTTCCCTCGTGTGCACGTGTGCAGTGGGACTGACACAGATTTACCACCTCCAGCTCAGGAATGTGTGAGACGAACAGAAGCTCTCGTATAAACTAAAGTTAAGGATTTTATTGATTTAGATGTGCTGCTGTTAAACCAATGTCAACATATTCATTTAAAACCTAAAAACAAAAGTTGACCAAAGCGCTTTACAATTCAGTCAAATGAAAATGTAAAACTAAAATAAGAACAACAAAAAAAACAAACACCAGAAAACTTGTGAATAATCAAAAACACTATTTTATTTTATTTAAATTTCCTAAAATGTATAAACTTGTGGATATTATCCCCATTTATTCATAGGACGTTTATTATGACTCGCTCCGTCAACCTCTGAAGAGGGAATGGCCAAAAGAAAAACTAAAGACTTTCTCCAAGTAAAAAAATGTTACATAATAAAACATTTAGAAAAACAAAATAGAAAATATAATAAATACAGACTTCATAAGCCCTGCTGTTTAATTACCGTAATTTCCGGATTATAAATTGCTTGTGACTCAATGAGACTACCTGTATAAATGAAGGTTAAAGAAATCTGACCAATGAAGAGTCCGAACAGGACAGTGGACCCATGAAACTTGATTTCATGGGTCCACTGTGTCCTGTTTGGACAATTTGTCTCCCCCCACCCCCCGCTGGGACACAACAAAGTATTTGCAGCCATAAATCAAGTCAAATCGTGAATTTGCCTGGAGATGAAAGTGACGTTGAGAGCAACGACGAAAGAGACTGAGGACGTGTGAAGAAGTTTTTCTGAGGCTGTTCAACTCTGACACTGAAGAAGACTTCAGAGGTTTTAGTGCACAGGAGGAAGGTGAAGATAGCGATCAATGACTTCCTGGTAGGCTAATGTATTTATTTTATTTTTTTAACCAGCTCTGTTACAGGCACTGTTCAGAAAAAAAAAACATTTACTGTACGTATTTGTGTATGTTACTGGTACGTATTTAATTACAAGTTTAAAAACTCTTTCTGTGTAAATACCACATGTTGCAACATGGACACCCAAAGCTTATACACAAGTGCAGCCTACATATGTGCACATATTTATTTTTAAATTTAGTGGGCGTGGCTTATATTCAAGTGCACTCAATAGTCCAGAAATAATGGTAATTAATAAGTAAATGTTGCTATATTAGAAATGCAACATATTGCTGATATTATTTATTTTTTCCAGTAAGCTATGTTCAAATAACAAAAATGGTCAAATCATGTCATCTGGACCCGTTTCTTTAAGTGAAGAAACGTTTCGTCCCCCATAAGTGAGATTCCAACAGGAGGTTGTCTTGAAACACAGCAGTGAAGGCTACCTGTGGGACAGATCTGACTGACACGCCGCAGACTGACGAAGTCCTCTGGATTAAAGAAACTGGTCCAGATGACATGATTTAACCATTTTTGTTGTTATCTACCTGGATGATAGAGCGTACAAAACTTTATTCAAATAAATACTCCTTTGTTGGTTCTTCAAGTCAAAACTCATCAGGAAGAAAACATTTCACCTTAAAGACAGTTCTTTATGACACAGATGCAATGAATTAAACTTAAAGAAGACAAACATTTGTGACAACTGTGATTACAATCTTGAGTAAAATAAGAAAAACGTTATTCTCTAAGCGAGCAGCTCCACTCGGACTTCTCTTTGATTCACAAGTGGTTTCTTGTTCTGCACAGACTGATTTTAAAAGATTTAACCTTGTTAAATGAAAGATTTGTTGGATCCTTTAAAAACAAAAATCCTGCAGAAAACTTCAGACACGCCTCCAAAATGGTTTCATCACAAAGCGCTGGTGGATCTGTTAATGACGTGCGTTTACCTGGAGAAGTTGGGGATCCTGCAGAGGCAGGAGGAGAGGTAATGGATCCAGAGTCCTGGACTGGCGTGGCCTCAGAAGACATGTTGGAGGAGGCGGAGTCAAAGCGTCAGACAAAGATGGGGAGTCAGAGTTTAGTGTTGCGTATTGAACACCTGCGAGGAGGACAAGAGACACACACAAAATTAGAACTGAACCTTCAGCCTGAGCTGAGCAACGTTTACAAAACGTGTTTATTTTTCCTCCTCGGTGAACATCTGCATTTTCTGTTCACTTTCTGGTCCACAACCTCCCCCCGCCTGAACGGTCCCCAGAACAACAAACAAGAAGAGTCAAACAGTGACCAGCTGGTGGCACGGTCACAACCCTCGTTACCACGGCAACAATAATTAGAGAACTGTCCGACGCTCTGTGACCTAACGAGGAGGTCCCGTCATTCAACTGTGGACTGACATCACCGTCCAGCCAGGCCCAGTTAGAGGAGCAGTGGAAAGAAACCTCCAGTCAGTCGTTCCTGCAGTTTGTTGCTTCTTGAACACAACGAGAGGAAAGAACCAAAGACAACAGGAGTTCAACTATCTACAATTTCCACAGATTACTCATCAAAAGATGGACTTCATACAATTCCATCCATCCATCCATCCATCCATCCATCATCTTCTACTTATTCTGGACTCAGGTCTCGGGGGCAGCATCTTGAGCAGGGAGGTCCAGACATCTTTCCACAGCCACCTCTTCCAGCTCTTCTGGGAGGACTCCAAGGTGTTCCCAGGTCAACCAAGAGACATACAGTAGTATGTCCTGGGTCTTTCCCTAAGTCTCCTCCCAGTCGGACATGCCTGAGGCACCTCCTTAGGGAGGCGTCCAGGGGGCATTCTTACCAGATGCCCGAACCGCCTCCACTGGCTCCTCTCGATGTGGAGGAGCAGTGGTTCTACTCAGAGTCTCTCCTGATAACTAAACTTCTCACCCTATCGCTAAAGCCCCCAGTACACTCCCACGCACGTCAGTCCGCACGTACCAGATTAGAGTCAAAGCGGACGCCTGCAGGGCATGTCCGTGCAAAGCTCAATTTTTACGACCACGACCATGTACTCGGTGTCGCACAATAAACTGCCCGGTGACGGACTGCTTTGTATGCGACACCAATGTTTTAATTTCCCCTTCTTCATCTCTGATCTGGCCTGTTGTTTTGTTTTTTGCCAAAAGGCAAATGATCTCTTCCTCCTCCATTGATGCCATGACTTAAATGGTGAGAAATGAAGACATTTGTCACGAGCGAATTAAAATCAGTCCCAGCATGGCTGCGGGAGAGTCTGGAGATTTCCTGGTGGGCTGGTCTGATGTGTGGGCTACAGTACCAGAACTTACTGGGGTTTTTTTTTTTTAAGAACTTTTTTAGTAACAACATATAAACACAGAACACCACTGTGGCTGGGGCTGCCAGCTCTCGTTTTTTTTTCCCGGACTGTCAATCAATCCAGTAGGCGTGTCAGCATATGACCAATCGGCGACCTCGATTTGTCCCAAAGGTAAACACCCCTCGTCTGCGGAGCTGCTCTGCAGCCGCTCAGGGTGGACGCTCAAGCATGAAGTCTGAACCCTCTGCGGACAGTGCGCACAGTTTCGGCGCGGCTGACAGGACATGGGAGCATACTGGGGAGAGCCCAGCTACCCTGCAGAAGAAACTCATTTCAACCTCCTGTATCCACATTCTCATTCGTTTGGTCACTACTCAGAGTTCATGGCCATAGGTGAGGGTAGGAACATAGACCGACTGGTAAACAGAGAACTTTGCCTTACAGCTCGGCTTCCTCTTCACTAGAACGGACTGGCATAGAGTCCACACTACTGCAGACGCTGCATCAATCTGTCAGTCAATCTCGCGCTCCATTCTCCCCTCACTCGTGAACAAAACCCCAAGATACTTTAACTCCTCCACTTGAGGAAGAACCTCACCCTCAACCTGAAGAGAGCATTCCACACTTTTACGACTGAGGAGAATGGCTTCAGATTTGGAGGTGCTGATTCTCATCCCAGCTGCTACACACTCGACTGCGAACCGCTCCAGTGAGAGCTGAAGATCACGGCACAATGACACAAACAGGACCACATAATCTGCAAAGAGCAGAGATGGAACCGGACCTAACGTTTATACTACTGCCTGTAATTAAAAAATAAAATAAAATCATAAAGGTGTTCATGGTAAGTGAAAAATGCTCTCAGAGCAGAACATTCATTGTGAATAAATAAATAAATAAAAATCTTATATTTTTAGGTTTAATATATTTCATTTTGTAGTTGTTTTATCGCTCTTTGAAATTAGGGTGCCAAGCAGAAGTGGAAGGTATACTGAAATTACATATTTAAGTACAAGTACATATCCTGATGCATGCTCAATAATCCAGGTAGAAAAATCCAAAAAAGTTCAATCTGGTCCTCTGGACATTCAAAAAAACCAAAAAAAAAAAAAAAAACAAAGCAAAAAAATGTAGAAACGTTTCGTCTCTCATCCGAGACTTCCGCAGTCTGAGGTGCTGTTTTCAGCTCAGTCTCTTAAATAGCACCTTCTCAGAGTGGATCAACCAGTTTTGCTGCTGACAACCAAAACCAGCTGATCACATGCTCAAGAAGGACCATCAGCCTAACAATGGATCATTAGCACACTGATGGCTGTTTACTATTCACAGAGGGCTGAGCAATCACAGCATTGTAAGAGGGGGACAGTTGAACCCGGAGGCCTCCACCCCTGTTTAATGATGGGTTTTTTTTGAATGTCGAGAGGACCAGATTGAACTTTTTTGGAAGTACAAGTACAGTTACTCTATAGAAATTTTATTCAAGTACATATAAAGTTATTCGTATAAAAATGTACTTCAGTAAGGAATTAAAAATCTAATTTGAGTAAAAGTCACTTTTTTCCAGCAGTTTGGCAGCACTCTGACAACAAAGGACAGGAGTGCTTTTTCCTCAAATGAGCTCTTAAAAATCACCAAATAATTTAATATGCAAGTACAAATCGGATTCCAAAAAAGTTGGGACACTAAACAAATTGTGAATAAAAACTGAATGCAATGATGTGGAGGTGCCAACATCTAATATTTTATTCAGAATAGAACATAAATCACAGATCAAAAGTTTAAACTGAGAGAATGTATCATTTTAAAGGGAAAATCTGTTGTTTCCAAATTTCATGGCATCAACAAATCCCAAAAAAGTTGAGACAAGTCCATTTTTACCACTGTGTGGCATCCCCCCTTCTTCTTCCAACACTCAACAGACGTCTGGGGACAGAGGAGACCAGTTTCTCAAGTTTAGAAATAGGAATGCTCTCCCATTCATGTCTAATACAGGCCTCTAACTGTTCAATCGTCTTGGGCCTTCTTTGTCGCACCTTCCTCTTTATGATGCGCCGAATGTTCTCTATAGGTGAAAGATCTGGACTGCAGGCTGGCCATTTCAGTACCCGGATCCTTCTCCTACGTAGCCATGATGTGATTGCTGCAGAATGTGGTCTGGCATTATCGTGTTGAAAAATGCAGGGTCTTCCCTGAAAGAGATGACGTCTAGATGGGAGCATATGTTGTTCTAGAACCTGAACATAGTTCTCTGCATTAATGGTGCCTTTCCAGACATGCAAGCTGCCCATGCCACAAGCGCTCATGCAACCCCATACCATCAGTGATGCAGGCTTCTGAACGGAGCGTTGATAACAACTTGGGCTATCCTTGAGGTCCGGATGACATGGCGTCCTAGTGTTCCATAAAGAACTTCAAATTGTGACTCATCTGACCACAGAACAGTCTTCCATTTTGCCACACTCCATTTTAAATGACCCCTGGCCCAGTGCAAACGTCTGAGCTTGTGGAGCTTGCTTAGAAATGGCTTCCTCTTTGCACTGTAGAGTTTCAGCTGGCAACGGCGGATGGCACGGTGGATTGTGTTCACTGACAATGCTTTCTGGAAGTATTCCTGAGCCCATTCTGTTATTTCCTTGACAGTGGCATTCCTGTTTGAGGTGCAGTGACGTTTAAGGGCCCGGAGATCACGAGCATCCAGTAGAGTTTTACGGCCTTGACCATTACACACAGCGATTGTTCCAGATTCTCTGAATCTTTTGATGATGTTATGCACGGTTGATGATGATAACTTAAAAGTCTTTGTTATTTTATGCTGGGTAACACCATTCTGGTATTGCTGCACTGTCTTTCTGTGCAACAATGGTGGAATTGGTGATCCTCTTACCATCTTGGCTTCTGAAAGACACTGACACTCTGAGAAGCTCTTTTTATACCCAATCATGTTGTCAATTGACCTAATTAGTGTTAATTGGTCTTCCAGCTGTTCATTATATGCTCAATTTCCTTTTTCAGCCACTTATTGCTACTTGTCCCAACTTTTTGGGGATTTGTTGACACTGTGAAATTTTGAATTAACATATTTTTCCTTTAAAATGTTACATTTACTCAGATTAAATTTTTGATCTGTCATCTATGTTATATTACGAATAAAATATTGACATTTGCCATCTCCACATCATTGCATTCAGTTTTTATTCACAATTTGTTTAGTGTCTCAACTTTTTTGGAATCCGGTTTGTACATAATAAAACATAACTGCATGATATTTAAATCACTACAACAGCATAAATTGATCATTGATCATTTAGGTGCAGAGCATCCCACAGTGCACAACTTGTTCAGTAACAAACCACGAAGCAGCTGGTAGAAAAATTCTTAAAAGACCCGTTCTGATCAGATTTTCATGAGAGTTTATTCTCGTATCTCCGATGAGGATGATGCTCTTTCTCATACAGATAAGAATATTTAAACAATTCTTAATACAGTGGAAAGAATGACCACATGCCAGACATCTACAAAACACAAGCTCAGGTGTCACGAGGTTCTGAGGCCCGGTCAGTGAATGACCAGAGGGATGGACTGTGAAGTGAGGTTAACGGTTTAGCTGCTTATGAAGAACTGAAGGTCTGAGTTTTTAGAATCAGAGAAAGATTTCTTTCAGCCTTAAATCACCGTGGTAAGAGAGGCTAAGCTCACTATGAAACTATAACGCCTTGTTTCAACTCGCTAAACAACAATACAGTAGGTTTTAGAATCATTGACCACGCTAACAGAACTACATTACTAACCGAACC